TACTCCTTTTAAGAGAGTTACCGTTGACATTGTTGGTCCGATCGAACCTATGACTGATAGGAAGAAAACCGATATATTTTGACCATGGTAGACTATGCTACCAGATAAATCCTGAAGCAATTGCAAATTGCCTAGTATAGAGACTGAAAGAGATGCCGAAGCATTAGTTGACATGTATAGTAGATTAGGTGTTCCAGAGAAATGCTTACAGATTGTGGGATGCACAATTTACTTCACAGATTATGAATGAGGTTAAGTAGTTGCTGTCTCTTAGACAGTTAACAACTACACACCGTATCATCCGATTGGTGTAATGGTTTAGTGGGGAAATTTAAATGGTAGTTTAAAGCAGATGTTAAACGGATGTGTAGTGAAAGACCTACAGAATTGGGATAAGTATTTGAATGCTATGTTGTTTGCGTATCGGGAAGTTCCACAAGAGAGTTTAGGACTCTCGCCATTTGAAATTGTTATATGGACTGTAAGTATAGAGGTCCAATTACCATTTTTGAGAGAGTTATGGTCATGAAAAAACAAGGAATGACGAAGTTTTAAGACAATTATCAGCTATGTAGTCGTGATGTTGCAAGAAAGACTAGAAAGTACATGTAAGATAGCAAGCAGGAGTTAGAGAAAGCAGTATTTAGGTATAGAAAGTATTACAACAAGAAAGCTAGAGATAGAACTTTTTTAAAAAGGGGAGTAAAGTCTGGTTCTTATACCTACATAAACGCAAATAAGTTGTTGTTACAGATGGAAGGTCCATTTGTAGTTTTCCAAGGTCGTGAACAAATTAGATTATCGATAGACATAGTAACAATAAGATCAAAAACTTTCCATGCCAATCGTGCTGAAGGAGTATGTTGAAAGAAATTTCGTAAACAGAACGAGGTGCATTGGCAAAGGTAAGTGGAAAGCTGTTGTAAGAAGCGGAAAATGGGTATGATAATTAGAGGAAGATGAATAGTTTAGAAACAAGTTACCAAGATGATAGTACATATTGTTATGTCCATTGAAAAAGGGTTCAGAGACATATAAAGATGTTCAAGGTCAATCCTGACTTACAAACAGATTGTAAGACTCAGAAATTGCAACCTTGTTAAAGAAATTTTCAGATGTTTTAACAGATATACCCGGAAATACGTCATTAGTTCAGCATGACATTTAAGTTGACTACGTCAAGGTAACTTACTACCGGTATGGACTAAGGGTTATCCTATTCCTTTTTCACTCACAGCAGATAGTAAAGGAAGAAGTTGATAAAATGCTAGAGTTGGGAGTTATCGAAACCTTCTAATGCTCCGTTTTCTAGTCCAATTGTCCTTATCAGGAAAAAAGGATAAAACGATTAGGGTTCTGTATTGATTTAGACAGAATCCAAATAAATGCACGGTATTTGATGCGGAACCGATGCCCAATATGGAAACAGATAATTTCGAAATTATCAAAATACAGGGTATTTTTCAGAAAATTGACCTTAGTAAAGGATACTGGCAAGTTTTCCTTTGTCTGACAATGCAAAACCTTTGACCGCATTTGAAACCCGTCGGGACTTTTTTTCAAATTCCGAAAAATGCCCTTTGGTTTAGTAATCTGTAGAATGATGAGAAAGGTTTTGAAAGATCTAGGTCACTCAGATGTTTTTTAGATGATATTTTGGTCTATACAGTCCATGGCCAGAGCATACAAAGCATTGTAAATGAGTTTTTTACCCAGTAAAGAGTCCTAGGCTTACTGCTAGACCGTCCAAGTGTTTATATGTTTTGAAAAATTGGAATGTTTAGGTCATATGATAGGAGGTAGTAAGTCCATTGAACTGTTCTCATAAGGTCAAGGGCAATTCAGGAGGGCCGAGAGACCCCAGCGACTAAGCGGGGTCCCGGCAATTTTTAGGGGTTGTGTCTTGGTACCGGGAAGTTCATTCCTAAACTTTGGCCGCCTTGCTGGTTCCGTTTGACCGATTTGACAAAAAAAAGTTTCAACCAAATCGTATTGAATGGGTGAAAGTCAGGAAAAGGCTTTTTTCAGACTCTTAAGGTAGTTTGACCGGTCCGCCCCATTTTGAAAAAATTACGCAGATTAGACAAGATATTTATTCTCAAGTTGAAAATGCTTCTGATTGAATGATTAGGATCTGTATTACTTCAAGAACAAGGGTGAGAGAAATTTTCCCATTACTTATCCGTAGAAAGATTTTACCCAAAGGAACAGAAGTATTCTGTAAAAGAAGGGAGTGCCTCTTGGTATTGTTTTTGGGCAATTTCAAATTTCAAGGAACTTGTTTGGTAAGGGAATTTATTCTAAGACAGATCACCAGCCGCTTTTGTATCTAAAAAGGCAAAGTAAAGTAACTCTAGAATAATGAAGATGGTCTTTGCTTTTGCAGCCATTACAGGATAGGATTAGAGCAATCCCAGGTAGAGAAAAACATAGGTGCAGAGTAATTTAAGCAGGGATATAATGTAGAGTGTAGTGTAGTATTTATGGTGGTTATGAATATGGTGTACAGTATTTCTACTTACATTTTGCAATTTGTCGTTTTTCACTTTTGTTGTATTTAAAGATAAAATTAATCAATTTTTCTTATTTAAAGGGGGCGTAAGTGTCACAAAGTGAAAGTACGTTTGTAAAAATCTTGCATTATATTTTCACCCGAACCTCATTTTTTTACTCTATATTCATTATGTGAGATTGCATCATCTTTTGTTCAATTTAGAGTTTTCGGGTGAAATTATTATTTAGAGATATTTTTATGGTTTGGCATAAATTTCCATGTCTCAATTTAAACATCTTTGCGTTTTATTTCACAAAATCCTTTCAGTAATAAGAAAGTTACATTTTTGTTTTATGAACCAGATATATGGTATTATGTCTGTATTTTTGAAGGACGGGCCTTTATTTTACATAACTATTTTTCCCGCCGTCCCAGCTTTATTTCGTGCAAATCGATTTTTCATGTTTTGCACGATCCGTTTTCCCGCTCAGTACTCAGTAGTTTGCTATATATTGACTAAATTTTAAGTGTTATATGGCAATGCACTGAACGTTATACAGGTCACTATGACGGTGACAGACAAATTATATTGTCATAAAATTACAGCTTGTACAAGGTAAATTTAGTTTTTCTAGTGATTTTGTTTCATAAATTTTTGCTATTTCGTAAAATACTATTTTTCTATTAGATATTATAGTTTATTTGATTCAGGTTTAGTTATTTGGCAGTAATTTATGTTTTCTAAATTTTCTAAATTTTTTGCAGATTAAAAATTTTAAAAGCTCTTTTTATTCTAGTGTTTTCGCTTTGCAAATTTATTCCGAGACATGTTAATTGATGTATTTTAATTGAAGTATTAATGATATTGTAATTGTATAGGAGCCATGAAATATTTTATAGATCTATATATATCTATTCATTAATAATTTATTATGGTCTTACGTATTTGTGTAAACTTTATGTAAAATGCTGCAGTATCGTAATGATTTGTTTCAATCAATTTAATTTACGTTATCATCTTACTTCATTTCATTAATCATCAGTTTTTGTTATAAGTAAATACAACGTATCAAAACTAACGTATAGATCTCTAGAGAAGGATCTTCAGTGGCATGATTTTTGGAAAAACGTTTTATTTATTGGTGGTTATTATGTGGCGTATATTTGAATATAATTTGCAACGCAGTATTATGCGGATGTGATTGAATTTTTGTTCCACGGAAGTATGGTGTACTATAGTGGACATTTTTTTATCTTCAAAAAGCACGTTATTTTTTTTGGAAACGCTAGCAAAGGTCGATTCTTTTCCAAGGAACTTTATTATACCCTTAGTTTGATTATCATGGAACTTTACCCATTGTTTTATACTTTGTAGCTTCTTATTTGAGGAAACCCGAATATGACACGGGGCCCTCCCACGATGTCCATGGCTAAAGGGTGACGATGCCCTTGGTTCAGGATCCTATCAACTGTGCCAACACTGTAGGGAAGTCAATTAGGCTTGATAAGATTTATACAAGACGCCCCGCCATTTGTGACGAATTTTTGTTCAACAACTTGCCATCCCTCTTTATTTGAAACATCATGACAGCACTTTACGGGAGAAACTAGACTGAGAATAATACTTGATGAGTGTTTGTTTGCGCAGTGATTTTTCATATCTAATCATTTTTCATTTATAAATATTCATTTCTTGTAAATAAATTTGTATATATTTTCTGTTCTGAGTTGTTGGTTGTTTTAGATAGCAATTGTGGTCGGCCTGGTATCCCATCGTAGTCCCTATTGTGACAAATACCACCCGACAAGATATAACAGATGGTAATGAAAAATGGTGCTGTCAAAAATATGAGTACCAGCTTGGAGTATCTCATACAATTTACCTATTCGAAAAAAAGGCCAGGTTTAATTTGAGACCTTACCTTAACGTGTACATCGCGTGTATAAGTTCAAAGTTGATAACCTGGTCATCCTTGCAAATATTTTCAGCCCCAGAGGGGTATCTAGTCAATTTGTATGCGATCTTATATTTCTAGTGAAGCAACAGCTGTGCTTTGTTTGGCCACATCACATTTTGTACCACCGATAACGTATGGGACAAATGCGTTACTAGTGTCGCAAATTTGTAATAGAAATAAAGCTCGTAATAGAGAAAAGAAATACGTATTTTCTTTATGCAATATTGGTATAATTTGTTACGAATGTGTTCGATACCAATACTTTTTAAGTGACGTACCATCACATAAGTAACAATGCAGATTTCAATAATATATAAATTGAAGCAAAACGCGCATATTTACAAGTGGAACACACCCTATGTAAATAATAACATATCGGGTCCTTACCTTAGTTAATGGTTATAAAACGTTTTGAATGCAGGGAATAGTATGTTACATTATTTTATTATCTTTCTAGCTTCACTTAATGCAGCATGTCAATTTTTCATTGTATTTACAAATGTAAAATTATCAAACATACCAGGGTAAGATGAACATGTAACAACACATACTAGTTAATGTTTTAATATTCTATTTTTAATATTCTATTTTTATTGCACAAGCCCTGATACAAAAATATGCTTAAAACATTTTTTTCCAAAATCACATTTGCATAACAAAAATAAACAATTCATTGTTCAAATTTCATAAAACATCAAGGGTGATAACATGTTCTATGGCTAAAATAAACCTACGCTAGCATTGTCTACGTCTGTCAAATCAATAGTGTCCATAAATTTCTATCACTAATTTTCTAAGTATTTCAATTTATTACCCTACAAATATTAAGTGTCTTTAACAATATCATCTACGCAGAAAGTATCTAATCGGGTTTATAATATTGCATGTTTGTAACATCGCTTTTAATAGGATAATCGTGACGCTAATATAGTCTATATACTTTAAAGATTTTTAAACGAATTTATAATACAGCATACTTGCTTTTTTTTGGAGAAAAAAAGTCAGATTTCTTGTAAATTGACAGCAGCCGTGTAAATTAAACTATATAAACTTATTTAATGAAAAGCAACGTTACAAACATGCAGTATTATAAATATATATACATGATATCTATACAAATAGAAAAATACTCTATTCAAGGTAAAAAATAAGTTTTAAATTTTTAGAAATAATGCGTTTTAATCTTCTTCTCCCGATAAAGAAGGGCGTTCAACAGATTGCATGTCACATCCGATATATTCTTCTGTTTCATTCTTATCACTTTCAGTTTTATCTACCTCACTTACAATACACGTTTTGGCGTCATTCAATTTTGTATTGATACTATCTAATGTCGGTTTATCATTTGACATGACGTCATTTCCTGTATCACGCGAAACTCCTGATTTAACATCATTTTCATTGACAACGTTTATTCCTTCACTAGTCCCACATTGATCTGGTTCAATATGTCCCTCCACAACCTCAGTGTTTCTTTCACTATGATCGTCATGTTTATAATTATTGTTAACTAACTGTGCATGTAGTTTGTCATTAAAACCTAACTGTTCCATTCGATCCTGTAAATCTGTATTGACTCGCGTTTCTCTTTGACCTTCTGAATGTGTATCAAACACTTCGTCATCTGTTGTACTTCCAAATTCATCATCACCAAGATCGCTCCATTCACAACTTGCCATAGATTCTAAAAATAGTAAAATAATATTCTCAACCTCTTTGAATAATACATATTCGTAATTTACCACAATTTTGGTTAATTTGGTTGTTATGTTTGGTTTTACGGTGAACCAGCACAAATCAGACCATATGGCGCCGAAACAAGAAATATGATTTTGACTAACCTCGGTGTTACAAACTTAAAGCAACACCAGCGTTTGACACTACTTCACCTGCTGGAGCTAAGAGATGCAAATATTCCAGTAATTCAAACCCGTTTAGCCGTCTCTTACGATCACGCAGAGATAAACGGTGCCATGGCTGCAATTCCGATGCCTCAACCCTTACAGGCAATCCTATCATTACTGTATCGACATGTCTTAACTTGCCCAAACTCTACGACACAAAGTCAATTTGTTCAAATAATATGTCGTTGACAACAAAAGCAATAAGGAAAATCAGATAAACGTATTTATCACAAAATAATATATAAATTTTACACAAATGAGAGTTAATCATTTGTATCCGACGTCAAGACTTCCTTGATCATTGGCAGTTAAAACAAAACATGAAACATGCATTTTCAATACAAACCTATGGATTTTAGTAACAGAAATGTCATTCTGAAATCGTAGTTTATAAGCCACGTAAAACAAAACAACAAATAAAAACATTTGATATGATGTTTATATCTAGAAAGTTTATAATGATTTCTTTTACAGTCATGACACGCTTCTATTTAAGAACTGAAACTGAGGATGCTATCCAGCTAGCTTACGGAAAGCCGCTGGTTCCAATCCGGGGCCCATAACTGAAATAAGGCAAGGAGGGACACCTGAGGTCGTCCTCCACAAGTTAAGCTGGAAAGTCGCCATATGACCTATACTTTGTTGGTTTGACGAAAAAATACTTCAAAACAAACCGAAATAACTGAAATACATATTTTTTTGTTAAAGGCCATTTATATGTTTCAGATATGAGTTTTCTTTAAAAAAAAAAAGTATTCCGACACAAGTGACGCTCTTTTTGTATTTTACTACCATTGAAATACATATGTATATATTTATCTTATATAATTACTGGAAAGTTTTACCCTAGTTATTTGTTTGGGTCGTCAGACCAAACAAATAATGGTAGCGAAAAATTTCAGACTCTAATGCTGTTAATTGCAATTGCCGGAAAGTAGTCCGCTTTTTTGAAGCGGTTACTTCCTTTTATATGTAACACAAAGGCCGAAAATTCAGGGGAGATCACTGCGTAAATATGGTCACATGACAGGCGCATTAAATTTTCAAGCAAAATAATTCCCCGAATGGTCGAATATTTCTAATATTGTTTTATTCTTTATAGATATAGCATGCTTTATAATAAGCGTTATAGTCGTTTACAAACCCTAATTTAGAATAATATGGTTTTCTAAATAAATTCACCGTGGCCGAGGGGTTTGCGCGCTCGCTTTAGGATGCGAGAGGTCTGGAGTTCAAATCCCCAACTTAAGGCAACTCATTTTTTTTTAAATTATATTCAAATAAAGATTGGATTGAAATATCAATGTTGCAATTAGTCTTATAGCCAATCTACTACAAATTAAAACGTTGGAAAGCATTGGTGCACTATACAAAAACAAATTGTTTTATAAATCTTCAACAACCTTCACCTTTCTGACATTCTGAGACCAAAAACAAATTCAGCTCCTTCTGTGCTTTGATTTTTTTTCAAACTTACTCATGTCACTTTCCGATATACGGAAGTCATGCTATCTGTGTCCTGCACCGACCTCCCTGGCATCCGGGGAATTTTTTTGCCAGATTTTTCTCGCGTCGTGATTGGTGTATTTCTTCTGAAATACTTTCGAGTTTTGGCAGTGACTCTGTATAGCTTCTTTTACAACATTGATTGCAGCTTTTGTAAATCCAACCTTTTTTGCTTCTGTTTGCGTAAAATATAACAATTTCGTAAACTGCAATTAAACTTTACTGCAAACTAAACAAGAATTTGCTTGCGGGTAATATACCGACTGTGGTTTGTACATTTATAAATCAAATGGATTAACATTAAACGGTATCGTTGTACAGTGTGTCGGAAGTTTAACTAATCTTTTGCAAACCTTTACGGTTTTCATCCATCCCTTCAAAACTTTTTGTTTTTTTTTTTTGGTTTTAAGTCACACCGTCACAGTATATGGTTTTCCCCTTCAAAAACATTTACACTATTGTTTTAGAGGAACTTATACAGAGAGCCATAGTTATGTTCTTCACATGATATGTCAACTAGTATAGACTCATGTTAAACCATTTTTTTAAAAGAAACATTTAATACAAACAAGTCTGTAAAAACTGTTTTTAACATTTCTTGAAGAGTTAGGTAAGATAGCTTTGATACCAAAACAAATGTAGGACTTTTTATCTCCAAATCAGAAGTCATTGGATGAAGGCAAAATTACCGTCTGATGGGTCAAATCAAGGTATTTTCTACGTTTAGTTTATACGGATTCTATCTTTAGTTTGATTGTGTAGGCAGGTTACACTCTCCCAATCCGTTCCTGATCCATCAGAACTAAGCTAATGAATGTTAAGTTTCTTGCACAAGGAAACAACGGATTTTGCCCATTACGACATTTGAATCTACGCAGATAAGCGATCTCATTAGATTATTAGTCCCGATGTGTTAACCACTCAACCATGCTATTCATACATGTAATTATAATATTAATAAACAAATAAATAAATTCTTAAACTTACATAAGTTTAACATCAAGTTCAGCTTTTAGTTCGAAGTAAGGTTTTGCTTTCTTAATTGAGCGGGCATAATTTCTTTTCAAGAATTTGAATTTGCGACTGAGTTCGGCATATTTCGCAGATCTCCGTTGGTGATTCTGTTCACGTTTTTGCCTTTCCTTTTCAGCCTCTGCTGACCTAGAATAAAATGTTATTCTACGAGACATTAAACTAACAAATTCTTAAAATACTTTATCTTTGATGATAAAATATAATTTATAAAAAATATTCAATTATTTTCTCACCTCTTAACAAAACAATATTCTGTACCTAATTCAAATATTTTATTAGGCTCAGTGTATTCCAATTCTTTAAAGTACATTTAATTAAGTGAATGATTTTCCCAGTAATTAAAGAAGACCAGTTTTATGACTTTGATTTTCTTGAAAAAATTTTGGCTGGTCTGGAAGCATGCAGCTTTAATACATAATGTAACAATTGGCACGTATTGACATGTCTTTTTTTACAATAACATCATATTAATATTATAGTTTACATTTAACGATGTTTTACAAGGACAGAAACTGCTGTCAGTCATTAAAATGTATCTTCAGTCAAATAAATAATAACAAATAAATTAAACGTCACACATTAGAGATTTTGAAAGCTGCAAAATTATCTGCGGGAAAAATTGTTATATTAAAACGTAACCTTGGCGGATGGCATGATTTAGCATTTTCCTGCCAGGCAGACGTGAGCTGGGCGGCCGTTGTCCCCGTGTCTTCTGTCAACCTGCTTTTCTGCTAGAGCCACGGTTTCCCGTGCGGCCTTATAACACGCTTACAGCGGTCTGGGAATTGTCGCGCAGGCCCTTCAACGCTTCACTTTGTGCCTTCATTTGATACAATGATAATGATTATTTTTATTTTATTCATAATATATAAAATTTTTAATTTTTAAAATTATTATGACACGTGCTTGTACAAACTTTTCTAAAAAAAAAGGCATTACTTAGCCACTTCCTTATACATGTACAAATTTACAATTCACTTGAGCAGCTCTCATTTCTCTTTCGTTTTTTTGATTATTTACTACGAAGGGCTAGCCCTGTTTTGCCCAACCAATTTGCTTTTTGTTTCATCAATTTGTATAATATTTGAACATGGATTTGATGAAATATGTTAAACTAAGAAAATAAGAAAATATTTAAGCATATTGTTATAAAATGAAAGTTATGCAAAGCTTTTGGTAATGGATGTCAAATAAACAGCAACATTTACTTAAGATTTTAACATTTTACAGCAATTTTCTTGTTAAGTAAATACTATTTCGCTTTAAATGTATAAAAGAAATGTGTCTCTACCAGCTTAGCATCCAACGATAATTTGTCAGTATTCCCGCGCTTTTTTGGATACTCTTCTTCGGCCTTTTGCAATGATTTCCATTTGACCGGAAGTTCCCGACACGATGATGCGATATTTTGACCTGGCCTCCTGAATAGATCACAGAACTATGGTGTTTTCATATAGAAGGCTTATTTTTTCAAGGGGCAGTTAAAGAATGACGATGTATATAAATAAATAATACATTTCAGCATCAATAAATATGGATTTAATGGAAAATGCTTTATCAGATTTTATCATTTTTTTATTCCGAATTTTTATTAAACGAATTTATGAATATAAATTCATAACGAAATTTTTAATTGATAAAGTTATATATCATTTCAATGTTATTCAATGTTAATTTTACAGAGGGAAAAAAACAAAAAACATTACTTTTGGAAAAATGGTAGTACGATACCATTGTATCGTACTTAAAATTTATTGCCTTCATATCAATATATTTAAGACTCTAGCATATCATTTCAATAAGGACAAGTTAATCTATAAAAAAGTACCAAAATGGCTAACAAAAATTCGGCTCATTGCCACGACAAATACATAAGGCCAAAATAAAAAAATATGTCTGGTTCAGGGAACCCGACCGACCCTATTTTTTTTTAACGCCGACCCTCAAAACTTTTTTTTTTAATTTTCGGTACGAAAATTTTTTTGGGTACGAAAGTTACAAATGTGAAAATTTTGTTTACGATGCCTGATGAATTTGCCGATGAGTAACAATCTTAAAATAATCAAAAAAATATTCAAATTTAATATGATCAAAATCAACAACAAGTAGAATTGTGAATGTTTCTGCAGGAACAGACAAAATTTTCAATTGTCACCATATTTTTGCGATGCGCTTTTTATGATTAAAAAAATCGTAACCAAAAGGAAGATATGTTTTGTTAAAGGTCAGGGTATCGCATTGTAACATGGCCAGCGATTGGCTGAAAAAAAGTGCAGCGGGAAAACGTAATGAGTCAATTTATACATGAGGTGAATTGGATGGAAGTGGGGTATTTTTAAGTAAAAAAACTAATTTAAAAAAGTAACACTACACTGTCTTCTGAAGAAAATGAAAATATTTCATGAGTCTCAGTGATAATTTTGACTTGGATATTTGCATTCATAAAAAGTGTATGTCAGTCCTGTGATCAAGCAGAAAATTTCAAATGAAATGGGGGTAATCTCTCTGAAGTCATTTTTGCAAAAAAATTTTGGTTGGCTACCCCTATATAACAAGAAAATTTTTATGTGTCAGGCATTTCATTCTGCTAGAAAAATTAGCTCTTTAGCATGAAACTCAATTTTAAGGTAGGATTAGGGACCATTTTTCTTATAATGTAAGTCTATGGAAATAATCAATGTGAGTGTCTGACCTTAAAGAGAGGGAATTGGAACTGTCATAATTCATTTGTAGTACATTTGTCTTCATTGATACACCATGAAAAGCTGATATTTTGGAAGGAAGAATGGATGTATACAGCCTGTCTAGGTATGAAATTTCATTATTTCAATGCAAACTGTTGGTGTTTACAGCAGATAATGGGGGC